AAATAAATTTTAAAGAATTAAAACTTGAGGATTATTCTATTATTGTACTTTTGTTCATATTTTGGGATTTCTGGAATATACATAAACCATATGATTGTTTGTCAAGACGTTTTAGAGATGATATTTAACCTAAAATCATTTTTAATTGTAATTATGAATATTTATATCATAATTGAAACGCAATCAAATAAAATTATACATAAAGATTAAAAATTTGTGATGCGAAATAATTGATTGCAAAACAGATATTAACAAAAATCATTGTAACATTGAATTGTAATGTAAAAAAAAATTTTCATATCATATATGAATCTAACAAGTTCAAATACATTTCTAATTGCATCAAAAATTTATATTTTAGCCAAGAAAATTCAATTTTACAAGATTCATCAATTTGTATAAACTATTTGCTTTTCAAAAAGTATACAAAAATATTTTATGCAACAAATTTGATAAAAACAATCATGATTCAAAATCCATACATCATCTATATTTTTTAAAAAATTGTATAATACAATGGCTTTATCATCCATCATAAAGCAAGTTATACTTATCCATAATCAAAATTTTTGAGCCATTTGATCATTGAATCTGATCTTCAAGAGATAATTTTTCTTATAAAGATCAATTTTGTCATGTTTTGTACTAATTATTGCTTCGTGACTAAGTATTTATTCTTCAATTTGAATTTGACTCTAAATTCACAAATCTGTCAATGTTATCCATTTCATGATCATGATCATTTTAAGATCACATCTAATGTTGTAATATATGAAAAAATTATATTAGTTATCAACATCTTTTGATTCAAATCATCAATCAATAAAATATATTTTATTGAATTGAAAATGATGATTTGACTATCATGTTGATTGAAAAAAATCAATACATGAATTGAGGATATAGAAACATGTTTGAAAGACAAAACGAAGAAGAAAAAATATGTACAATATCAATTTTTTTATTTATCATCATCTATATACTCTTCAATATTCAAACATTTTATTGAAATATCATAAAATACAAGAATTTGGTATTGAAAATTTTGACATACTTACAACTTGATTGAAATCATATAATCTGATTGTTAACTTTTTGCAATGAAAAAATAATTCATCAATAAAAAAATACAATGTTTAATATTAATTTTTTGCTTCAAAATAAAATACTATAAATATAATATAATAAATTTTATAGTAATTTAAAGGAAAAAAATATTGTTATTAAAAATGAAAAAAATCTTGCCAAAACCAATAGCATTAAATAAATCTTTAACTTTACTCTATCAAAATAAATGATTGCCATGTTCTGTGTTTTTTATTATGACAAATCTAATTTTTCCAATGGTTATGTTCATCAACCTTTTTCATAAAATCTTGATTGCATATTCATGTGATCACTTTGCTTTCAAATTGCTATTCTTTAAAAAATAAAATATCCACATAGTATCCTACTTACTTCACTAATAGTTACCAACAAAATTTCCAGAATTATTCAAACAAAATCTTGTCACAATTTGAATTACAATATAAACATATTTGAGATCAAAAACCTTAAATGAAGTTTGGAAAAAAACTTGCAAGTTTAATCAATATATGTGTTTATTCTAAACTATGTGTTTGTAGTCAAGAATAATCATCTCAACTCAGAAAAAAATACTTCAAAAAATCATGGACAAAGACGTTTTGTAGGTTACAAAAAGATTCAGGTACAACTTTATTTGTACACAAAGATTATCATATACATCATCATACAACTGTTGTTAATTTCTTGCTTCCTATTTGTTAAATATTATTCTATTATCAATTTTTTGGTTTGTTATAGCCAAAAAAATAAACAAATATAGCCAACAAGTAAAAAAATGTGATTTATCATTATGTTAATGTTTGTTGGTTTCTTAGTGCTTGTTTGTTTAATCTTGCTTTGATTAGTTTTTTTGGTTTGCAATGTGAGGAGAATACAAATAGAGTCAAATAGCTTGCAAAAACAAATATGAGGTTCATCAATTTAGATTATGTTCACCAAAGCACAACAAGTTGCTTTGAAAACTTTTAATTTATGTCAATGGAAGCTTTGATCAACTCTCTTATACTATGGCAAACTAACTAGCTCTACTAACCAGGATTAAGCTAATCACAAATTACCAATCATTGACTTAAGTCCTATCATTCACATGTCTCAAAGATTTTGATCACACAACAAATCGTTATCAACAATATTTTAAATATATGATGATTTTATCATTATGATATTGACAAATAACCATGATAAATTTGCAAGGTTTGCTGAATGAAAGATGAAACTCTCTATAACAATAGGCTGACAGAAAATATCATATTCAATATATTTATATATATTTTAAAAATTTCTGCCAAATTTAGTTGTGAATGCTTTTTTTGAAAAAAATCATATTTTAGTGATTGAAAATAATTATTAACAATATTTGAATTGTATTATTTCAATAAAATGTAAATTAAAGAATTTTTCATAATTACAAAGATTTGCATCTTGAATGGAATTATCTTTGCTAAAAGTTTAGTTCATGTGTGTTATTTTTTTAGTTTACTTGTAATCTATGTATATAATTAGTTTTTGTGTTTCAATGCTATCAATAGGCTATGACATTTGTGCTTTTACTCCAGTATTCTTGGGCTCTGAGATATTTACCGGACCTGTTGAAGACTTCGTCACTGCAATTTCATTTCCATTTGAAATATTGAAGACATTGCCTCCCACAGACAAGTTCTTTGATACTGCCGACTTGGATCTCCAATCACTTAAATTAGACAGCAGGTTCTCCTCGCTTTGTTCCATCATATTGTTGGTCTTGGACATGACATGTCAGAGTTTTATATATCTTCGTCATACCATTGTTATTCTACTACATATCAATTTGGCATCTTTGGGAAGTGAGCTATGGGTTTGATTTTTTGTGGATGCTTGGATGGTAAGTCCATCAGACAGATCATGTACTACTACAATGTCCGTAACGAAGAAAGTTGTACTCTTTAAAGACTGAGTCTGACATCGAAAGGATTTTGTATTGGAATAAGTTACGACTGGAGATCTGAAGAGTGTTTTACCATCAAATACTGGAACTCCTTGATGCTTAAAATTCTCAGGTTTCACGCAATTGAGAAGGGCCGGTTTACGCATCGGAAGGTCATGATGTATGTTAGAGGGGACCACATCGAAACAAAGCACGATATGAAGTCCCCATTACAAAATCATGTCAGAATGTAGATGGTCATGAGTTGCTTGCCGTATTTAAGGGAGGGTGGGTGGGGGGCGGGGGGTTGGGCTGGGAGGCGCAAGTAATGTAGCGGACTATTTTCATGACGAAAAAATGTGTGTTGTAAAAGATTTGTGAATAGCCAATCAGAAAGCGTCGATGAGTAACATGCCAAATAACCACTCCATGAGGAGCAAAATTGTTGACGGCTCTTGGAATCCGGACCATCGTTTGTGCGTGAGAGGCCAACGGGGAAGAGAACAAGCGGAAAACTTCAATCACGGTAACGGCAGACGACTGTTGTACGACACCGCTTCAACAAGAGCAGTTTTCAATATTGGTGACAGCTGGCAATCCAAGGAGTAGCTGAGTTAAAAATAAAACTCATCCTGAAAAGCTTGTGCAAGTAACCAAAGTAACTCACTTAAATTGTCCGACACATTGAAATATTCACCTCGAGAATCCAGAACTATGAAAGAAAATCTGGGAGTAAGCATCAGACTCAAAGAAAGTTAACAGGGGCTCGGCACGAACTGTATACGTCGCTACGAACTGCAAAATTGGTTTAAGCGATACCCCCTGCGTTCGTTTTCAGCAAGCAAGTTTGTTGTGAGCTATATGATCTCCTCGTAATCAAGGCGCTGAGAGAAACGAGGATTTGCTATCCACTTCCCTCAAGCATAGTCATATAAAATGAGGAGTGAGAAATTTGTCATTTGGCACCAAAATAAATAGATGTGTAATAATTGTCCACGTTATAGTCATAGTTGATTAGCCAGGTCGTACGACCAGTAATGTAGTTAGCACTGCCAAATAGGGGGCATGACAAGAACCTTTCATCCCAAAATTTCCAAATATTAACCCTCAAAGACTAGATGTCTAAATCCAAATATAGCAACAAACTGCTTTCTTCTCGCCTTTCATGGATAAAATCTGTTTTGGACTGCGTGTCCATCTCAATTTATTTGAACTAATGTATAAATACATTCTTTTAGAAAGAAATTTGGTTCATTATATCACTGAATGCTCGGCACAGCCAGCTGTAAGGAAACATATGGTGGCAGTGGTTGTTCTGTTTAAGCAAATAAATAAAATGAACACCAAGGCTATAAGTATGTGTTATAAGTAGAGAATGCGCTTATTGCACATATTAGATCAAGCGCGATTTGAAGTCGAACGGCAAATATTCCCTCAAAAGTCTCCAACTAGTCGGCCTCTAAAATTTTTTGACTGCAACGTAGTAGAGGGGCACAGTGCAAGCAAAGCAGGATAATGTCATTCACGGCTCCTTTTGACAGGAGTTGGGCCGGTTGATGCCCACTGCTGATATTCTGTCGTCGCCATTATTACCCAGGATGGCGACAGTTTCGCCATAGAATAGCACCACAGTACGGTATCTCTCTCACTATCCACTATATATGGAAGTTCTAAACTTTACTGTGAGCCCGGTTAAATAGCTTGGACTACGACCTGAACTATAATGTCAGTGACAATTCACCTTCTTCCAATGTTTGGTACGACTATGCTGCATTGACAGTGGCATTACACTTTCGCCAGTCGTTAGGATGGACTAACTGTCACCATCTAGTTGACGTAGAATCCAGTGAAGTAACTCGGAGTAACTCTTGCTCCGTGGCAGTGAAAAACCAAGGGAAAAATAGAGTTTTCGTCATAGAATAGGACAGTTTGTCGTTTACTGTCATTTCAATTGCTATCTTAAGTCTATAAGAGGATGCGAGTTTCAGACAAAAGTTGGACTGGACGAGACCTGAGCGTTCCCGTACAAGAAACTGTGGAATATACAAAGCCCCGGAGTAAATAGGGACAGAGCTCATTGTGAGAATCTGGAAAGATGGGTTCTACGTTAAACGATCTCGGACTCTGGAGGCAGTAGTGAGAGGTTATGTCTTGCCTGCGGGAATGGAGCACGCGTAGACAAGTTGTGTGTGCAAGGCCAATTAGGAATATTTTCTCCCCCAAGTGGAATAGTACCCTAACCCTAGAGCGTAGGACGAGCTTGTCATCCGCTTCGCGTGAGGCTCCCGCGAGCTGAGTTTGATTGCGAGTGGACGATTGCCAATACTGCCTTGGGTCTCGAGTGGAATGCGATTCTCGTCGAGGAATTATCACAATTGATGGTTTGGCGCTCATTTCCTTCTTCACCATCGTGTCTTAGTGCCCAGGAGCTGCGAAGATGACTACGCTTACCTCGCAAGAGCTCAATTTCTTGATATTCCGGTATCTACATGAATCCGGTGAGTTGTTTCAAGCATAGTGCCTCGGCGCACGTTCGGTGCAAACATTTTTTCAAATTTTGTCTGTGACTTATTTTAAAAGCATGTCAAATGTTCGAAACCTTACGTTGCATAATTGTAGAAAATTTCCAGACCGAATGCAAGATGTGACCAGTTGTTGATCGGAGGTACTTTTTGTTGATCGTTTGCGAGTTATCAACACGTACGTGAATGTTCCCTTGGTTCAGCATTTAGTTCTTTGCGTTTGCTTTTCCACCTTTCCTGTTCGCTTCATTGTAATATTGTTTTCTTCGTTGCTTTGCTTGCAGGATTCATACACTCGGCCTTCACTCTAGGCTACGAGGCGAACCTTTCCAAAGCTGTAATTGATGGTAATCAAGTGCCCCCAGGTGCTCTTATTTCGTTCGTGCAAAAAGGACTTCAATATCTGGAGCTCGAAGCCAATCTCAACGATGTAAGCCACCTTTTAACTCTTCCTCTAATATCTGGAGTGTTTTTCGCGTTGGTCAGCTTTGTGCTGACTTCAAACGCGTATGCTTACTGTACCTCATCTAAAACTTGTTCGAGCTTTGCTTGATTTCTTGGAACATAGACCGTCAACGAGAGACCAGGACCGAAGAAAAGGTATCAAGTCATTAGAGGGGAGGTTTAATCAATTCGCTGGTCGCTGGTCGAAGACCTTATGCTACTGACTAGATGTTTGACCTTCCCGGCTCTCTAATTTTCTGTATGGTATTTTGCAGATGGTACTGTCTTGTTTGGTTATCAGTCCCTTTGTCGGATCATCTTGCTTAGCTTAATCACTAACTCAGAGAGTCCTTCGTTTTCAATTTAGTCTATTCTCAGATTGGTGGATCATCAGCTCACGGTGGAATCGACTTTAGTTCGTAGTTATTTATTGTCATCGAGTTTTAGGACCAACCAATTACATGCTACCTACGTCTTCACGCGGTGAAATTTATTTCGGACGCTCGAACTTCTTATACAAGCTCTTGCTGGATGCTATCTCAGATGGAGAGCGTACCATCCGCGTTGCTATTTATAAAGAAAAGGAACTTTTTGGGGTGGATGTGTTTTCTGACTGGAATGTAGAAAACTCGATATCCACCCTCTCAGACTGGACGGGTTGTAAAGTTTTAATAGTGCTTGAAGATTACTAGATTGCGTGGTTTGCGAGTCCGTGGTTATTATTATTTTTCTTTGATGCTCTTGTCTTCAACCTACTTTCGACGTGGTTTGCATAGGACGGTATGGACATAGATGGAGATTTTGCTCTACTTCAGCCAGTCGATCTGCTCACAAAGGACATGTTGGAACTGCGACAAATCATTAAAGACAAACGTGAGAAGATAGATAAGGAAAAGGAGAAGGAAAAGGAGAAGGAAAGGGACAAAGAGAGAGAGAAGGAGAGAGAGAAAGAACGCGAAAAGGAACGAGAGAAGGAGAAGGAACGTGTGGAAAGAGAGAAAGAAAAGGAGCGGGAGAGGGAAAGGCTCGAGAGAGAAAGAGATCGCGAGCGAGAGAAAGAGAAGGAGAGAGAGAAGGAGCGCGAACGTGATCGGTTTGAGAAAGAAAGAGATCGAGATGAGAAGGCAAAGATGCCCGTTGAGATACCTCAAGTTGCCAAAGCCGCTGGAGGTATTTTCTTTGAACATTGTAACGCTGAACACGTCGCTAGCTAGTGTTCTTTTGATTGCATTGTGCTCGTGTTAGTTTATATTTGAAGTCTTTGTTGTGTAATATGCTGGAGGTTCCTTTTTCTTCTTCAAAAACTACTATCTGTTACATGTATCGATCTTCTAGTGGTCTTCTTCTTCGAGACTGCCTGATATACGAAGTGTTCCTTCAAGTACTGAACCCTGGTTGTTCCAGGTTTGGGTTCAATGCCCCTTTCTTGAGCGCAGTGACGGGAGTGTCTGACAGAACTGGAGTATAAAACTCACTGATCATCCTTTCCCCCCTGACTGTGTTCAGGTCCTGAAGATCATCCCGAGGCTACGGTACCCGCAGCTACCCCAAGTGACATATCTCACTCTGACGTCACAATACTGGAAGGCCATACATCAGAGGTGAGTCACCCGTTGTCTCGTCACCCGTTCGTCTGACCATTTCTCAGCCTATCAACGTCAGAATTTTTGAGAAACTAGGTCGAAGGCCACCTGTCAGCTTGCCCGCAGCACTGAAGTGGTGACATATATATAATGTAGCAATCAGGTAAGATTGACGAAAACATGAAGAGGCTTTGTAATCTTTGTACGACATAGAAGTTACTGATGTATCGTCCTTTGAGTGTTTATTGACAGGTCTTCATCTGTGCCTGGAGCCCAACCGGATCTCTTCTGGCTTCTGGGTACGATAAAAAATCTACCAAACCTTGATATCTTTGACCTTCAGTATAATCACCTGATTATACCCAAGTGTACTCTTACATCGGTTATTCACCCGTTCAAAGAGTCTGTGGGTCTACCGTGGAAACTTCACCAAATCCTTCGATGTTTTGTTAATGTTTTGTTGTACAAAGTTTCAACAGTGTCATTCAAACTGTGGATGTATACCTGTTGAGATAAATCCTAATATCCTTGTACCAACTCTCAGCAGAGGTATTCAAACTATGGATTTATTATCTGTTGAGATATATGGAAAAAGTGCTATACATATGGTCTTCTATGTAGATCAGAAGGTACTAAAGTCTTAGGACGGACAGATTTTGGACTACATCAAGGGTATGAAGCATGGAATGAAAAATAGAGGACGAATCAAGTGCAATCTAAAAAATATGTTCATTCGTATCCCGCCTATACAATGACGAAGCTGAGTTCATATCACTGGGTACATGTGCATTAGTGAACTCATCAGTTGTATTGCAAATCACTTGGGGGACGATCGTGTAGGTTAAGTCAGCTGTAGTAACGTGTGATACTGGCTACTTTATGTACATTTTATGCACTGAACGTTAGAGGTTTACTTTTTCGTGGCTCTACCCTGGACCTTCTTCCCCCTCTCCGATGAAGCCGCAAGTCTGTAATTCAATCGAGTTTTGATTGATAATCTCACAAATGTAGGGGAACTCGATACCTTCGGAAAGCAACAATATGAATGTGGAGCTTGCATAGTGAATTGTGGAAAATTTAATTGTTTATCGTAGCTGTCGGTTTGTGATGATGATATAATTACAGCCAAACATTTGATTGTAAGTTCCAAATGCACTAGTTCTTGCTCCCACGTGAAATTTCTCACTCTGATTGCGCAGCACGGGAAGCTCATACATCGGAGGTGAGTCACAACTTGTCTTCCTTTGATTGTTTGGAGGATCGGCGTCAAAAGTTTCAAGAGATAGGTTCATGGCTACATCATCCAATTTCTTTAACCTTAACAATGGGAAAAGTAACAATCTTAACTATGCGAAGAGGAATGAGTCACCTGGAATTGAACTGAAGTGAATGAAAGCATTGACGTGACACAATGTCCATCAACTGCTCCTTTTATTACGTACTATATCTAAACATCTGCAATTTAAGTGCCATGGCCTGAGAGGGTCAATTTGTACAGTGCCGGAATTTAACAGCATATCATCTAAGAGGGACGGTGCTCTCATAACTGACCCTCACGGCTTTTGAGAAGCGAATGAGATTGATGTTTCTTAGGCACTTTCTACAAATTGACCATTTTTTGGAATTGATCTGTTTTTTTCCCTCGTCAGTTTTGAAGATTTTTCTATTTTTGGTCCAGAACACTGAATTTCTCGGTTGCAAACTTACGGTGTTCGGGGCCGAAAAGAGAATATTCTGGCAGTTTTCCTTCTTTTTTGTACATATGGTTTTCATGAAAACTTTTATTTTCTTCCCGCGAAGTAAGAAACTTCTGTCAAGATCACGAAGTCCATCGGGTTTTCCGAAGGTACTCTCCCGTATGCAACTCTGGAACTTAGTACATTCCCAGCGAAGGCGATCAGGACATAATGGGTTATTTTTCTAGGGGAATTTTTCGGAAATGGGAACGCTGTATTTGCAATATGACTCCCTTCCTTGTCTTTCTAAACTATACGGAAATTATGGAAATTTATCTTGTTCTGATTGCTAAGGATTTCGCTTCCTGCCTGGGCTTTCTACCGATTGAATATCTTCGGTTTAAGGGTTAAGGGTTTATCTGCCAAGTTTGTCCTGTCCGTACTATGTCAAAGGAACGTTTTGTTTCCAGAAAATATTGGGAGTTTATCAGTTGTGATTGCCAACGATTTTTTGTTCTTGCCTGGCCTTATGCAGGCTGAATATCTTCGTATTCAGGATTAAGGTTCGGTCTCATCCTTGTACGGCTTGATGGGGGTATTCCCAACCTTTTTTCTTTATCCACTTGACCCTTGTTTCTCTCAATATTTTGATTTTAGGAGTCGATAGTGTGCTAGTCTCAGAATTAAAATCTCAGAATTTTTCTCTAAGTCTCAGAATTAAAAAAACCCAAAAGACAAACTAAGATGACGAAATTACTCGGCATTACTTGATCTTCAAAGGACGAGATATGATGACAGTACATGAGATATGTAGTGGCTAAATATTACGACGGTGTTAGTTCTTAAACGTCCTCCGATCTTTCTGTCCAGTACTTTGCATTCTTTCGCCCCCACATGATGACAGTACGTGTGTTTTGTAGTGGCAAAATATAATGACCGTGTTAGTTCCAAACACCCGTCAATCTTTCTGTTCAGTACTTTTCATTTTTTCGCCCCCACATGATGACAGTACATGAGTCCTGTAGTCGCTAAGTATTATGACGGTGTTGTTTCTTAAACAACCTCCGTTTTTTCTGCCCAGTACGGTTCTTTCTTTCGCCCCCTTACGTTGACAGTACATGAGTTTTGTATCTGCTAAATTTTATGACGGTCTTAGTTTTCAAACAATCTCCGATCTTTCTGTCCAGTGATTTTCATTTTTTTGCCCCGTTATGATGACAGTACATGAGTTTTGTACTTGCAAAATATTATGACGGTGTTAGTTCTTTAACAATCTCCGATCTTTCTGTCCAGTAGTGTTCTTTCTTTCGCCCCTGAAAACCCGTAAGGAGCGGTTGTACAGCGTTGCATACTCTTGTACTTCTGCGTGCAGGAAATATGAAAGTAGCAGAAAGAGACAGTGACATGTCACGAGAGGGATGAACAGTCTCTTCCTCGACCTCTTTATCTCTGTACTTGATATAATGTAATGACGACTCGTAGAGAATACTGCTTAGCTGTACAGAGGGTACTCCGTGGACGTAAGTAAGTTTCATATAATTTGCATGAACCGTCTGGACGTTGAGTAGTTCCAATGAGTGCTGCTAGGAATGGTCTATGCCTGATTCATTCAGTGCGTATGTATGTTTCTATTAAGCGAAATATTATCTCCAACTATATATTATTTTCAACTACAGTGGATTTGGTCATCCAAAAATGACCCAGTCTCTGCGCAATTTTTTTTGTTTGGTGCTTTATTTTCTCCTTATGTTACTGGTATCAGTTAGAATGTTTCTGTTGATTGTGTAGTCATTATTTTGTCTTAACCTAATATCCATAATCCAATAATATAGGCTCTTATCGTCTACAAGTTATTTCCATTTGAATTTGCCGAACATTTGTTGAGATAAACAAATATATTTATGGCAAGAAGTTCATGATACACAACACTTTGCACATCTCAAATGCTGGTAAGAATCTTCTTCTATGTGTGCTCTACGACATTGTTTCTGTTAAACTATATAGCAAGGAAAAAGAATCTCTTTCTACTTTCACCTCAAGTGATATGCAAATAAACTAAGAGTCATAGTCCTCATCAACTGGGTTGAAACCTAGTCCAAAACCCAGTCCAAAACCCAGCGCTTTATGTACTTTCTCTACTACAAAAAGGGTTCTCAAAGACCTAGGGGAAAAGGGGACAATGAAGATCGAGATGTACCTTGACTCTTTGTAGAGGGGGTGTTCCAAAAGCGGCTGATGAGACCTTGGGGAAAGTGGAGGCGAGTGGACACTTCTTTGTAAGTTGTTAACATTTTAAGGACTTACATCTAGGGCCAATACGGTATAAGGTAATCATTTTGAAATTCTAATTTGGTTTCTTCTAGGCAATTTTTTTTTTCTCATCCCGTCTTTACCTAAAATAATGAAGCTACCTTCTCAACAGCTTGAGCTTTTTCGAATGCACTAAACATGTGTACATCATTGCCTTCGCTGAGAATTGCCTCAGCTGCTACTTTACCATGATTTTTCGCGAAGGTGTGAAGCTTTCACCAATCATCAGGACAGTTTCCAAGCCCAAGTACTTCAATTGAGGTGTTATTCCTCTCATTCTTTGCAGATCCTCAGGAAATTTTAGAGGTAGCTGGAGGTGATTATGCACCTTCACTTTCTACGTTGATTGTAGCATCTAGATCTGCGTTCAGTCTCCGTTAAACTCAAGCTTGGACATTCGTCCACATCATCCTTGTACATCATCCACCAGCATGTACTATATTGTATCTACAAAATGCCTGGGAAATAGCTAAGGAAAATCTCCATAGTTTTTTGGGTTTTGAGTCATTTTGAACTCTGGATAACGGTGTTCAAGCCTGTGTTGAACACACCCGGTTTGGTAGTCATTTTTGTTTATGATGTTTTCTTGTTGCTTGTTGTCATATATACTTGCTTAGGTCCCTCTTAGAGCTCATGCTTTTATGTAAATATTACCATTTTATCTGTATGGACTTCTTTGCACCATCCTTCATTTTTCTTTCTAGGAATTTTGATGTCTTAGGTCCATCACAAGCGAGGCACAAGTTATATTGTACTTACAAAAAGCCTGGGAAAATAGCTATGAGGTCTGTCCATGGGTTGTTGGGTTTTGAGTCATCCTCAATCCTGGAAATTGGTGTTTTAGCGTGTATCAAACACACCGAGTTTGATGGTCATTTTCATCTGGGGTGCATACTGATGTTATACATAGTTGCTAATTACCCTTATAGATCGCATGACTTTTATTTTAGATATACTAAATTCATTCGTGTAGACTTCACCGTCGTTTTCTTCTCTTGGAATTGTGATGGGACATGCCCATGTCAAACTAATCACGTGGTATATTATATCTAGGAAAGTTCTGCGAAATTTACATGGAAATTTCTCATGTTTTGTTGGAATTTGAGTCATCCTTAAATTTGGGAATGGTTGTTAGCCTGCATTAAATGCCCTCATTTTGATGGTTGGTTTCTTCCGTGATGCACACTTGTTGCTTGGTCTTTTGAGCAACTATCCTTGCCCATTACCCTTCTAGGGCTCATGCCTTTTATATAGAAATCTCAAGTCGTTTGATATGTTTTTCCTTGCTGCTATCCTTGATTTCTTCTCTCCAGAAATGTTGATGTCATAGGTACATTTCAAGCTCAGCACATGCTACATCATATTTACAAAAAGTCTGGTAAAGAGCCATGGAGACTCTCCATGCTTTGTTGGGTTTTGAGTCATCCTTTAATCCTGGAGAATGGTTTATAGCGTGGATGAAACGCCTCAAGTTTTCTGGTCATATTTTTCTGTGACACATACTTGTTACCTGACGTCATAGATAGTTGCTTATTTCCCTTCTAGAGTTCTCGCCAAAGAATTAAAGTATATTTGTATGGACTCCTTGGAGCCATCCTTTTTTTTCTCATTAATGGAATTTTGATATTATGGGTCCATTTCAAGCTAAGCACATGGTATATCATATCAACAAAAAAGTTTGGGAAATAGCTATGGAGACTAATTATGATTTGTTGAAATGAAACATCTTTAATCCTGGAAAATGGTTTAAGCTTGTATCAAACAACCCAGTTTGATGGTTAGTTTCTTCTGTGAATCATACTTCTTGCTTGATGTCATCCATGTTGATTATTACCCTTCTAAATCCTGTGCCTTGTGCTTAAATACATCATTGTATGCGCTCATTGGCGTAATCCTTGATATTTCTCTGTAAGATTTTTGTTGTTATGTGTTCTTTTCAAGCTAAGCGCGTGGTATGTTCAATATACAAAAAACCTGGGAAATAGATTTGGAGACTCTCATGGTTTGTTGGGATTTAATTAATTCTTAATGATGAGAATTGGTTTTTAGCTTGTGCGAAATTTTTAACGGCGGCCAAGTTGATTACAAAGGATGAGAAGACCCCATCAAGCCGTACAAGGAAAAACGGTGAAGCTGGGTCTAGTTTCCAATTGGGTTTGTCAAACACACTAAGTTTGATGGTTCTATTCTGCTGGGACGCATACTTTTCAGAAGTGTTTCTTAGAGACCTGAATCGAAAATTGGTGGAAATTGTTTTATGACTTCAATTGAAGAAGAAAAAGATTTCAATAGCCTTCAAGAACGTGGGTACTGAAAATTGCAATGAAGCATAGGTTCCCAATTTGAAGGAATTCCTGCCAAGATTAAAGATCCAGCCGTAGGTGCCTCCACATGAGCTTCAGGTAACTAAATATGAATATATAGGTAGGTTAGCACTCAGTTTGATGTGTGTGTTGAACACATATGTTGCTTGACGACACACGGACTTCACACTTTGTGTGACGTCATAACATACTTCTTCTGTATGGAGGTCACGCCTTGTATTTTAAAACATTAGCTGTATGTGTATAGACTCCCTGCCGCCATCCTTGAATCCTCTTCAGGACTTTTGATGCTATAGGTCCATTCCAAGCTAAGCATGAGGTATAACAAATTTATTTAGTTTGCGATGCATACTTGTTGCGTCACTGCTTAATACCCTCCTAGAGCTCTAGAGCTCCTCCATACATATTTCAAAGTAATATGTATGGACTCCTCGTTGCCATCCTTGATTTCTCTCTCATGGATTTTTAATCTTTTAGCTCCATTCCAAGCTAAGTATCTGGTTTGTCATATCTTCCAAAAGCCTTGTGAAAAGCTGTGGAGACTCTCCATGATTTGTTGGGTTTTTAGTCATCCTTAATTCTGGAATATGGTTCTCTAGCGTGTGTCAAAGACTCCCAGTTAGACGATAATATTCTTTGTGATGCATACCTATTTTTTTTTATAACTATAGTGTTTAGAGCCCTGGATTCAAATTTGGTGTAAAATTTGAGATTTCATATTTTTTGGACCTCATATTAAGATGACGAAGATTTCAAAAGAATTGCAAACCTTGGGTATTTGAAGTTCTACAAAATCATTGGTTCCGAATTCAATAGAATTCCAGCCAAGATTAGAGATCCAGCCGTAGGTGCCAGCACATGAGCTTCTGGCAACCAATTATGAACTGGTACCCTATGTACTTTCACGCTCAGTTTCATGTTTATTTCTTCTGTGGCGCATACGTGTTGCTTGACGTCGTACAGATTTGCTTATTACACTTCTAAAGTTCATGCCTTATATGAAAAAATATGAGTTGTATTTGTATGGACTCCTTGCCGCCTTCTTTGATTTTTCTCTCCAGGAATTCTGATGTTATGGGTCCATTTGAAGGTAGGCACGTGGTATACTATTCACAGAAAGCCTCGTAATTAGCTATGGGACTCTCCATGGTTAGTTTGGTTTTGAGTTATCCTCATCCTCGAATACGGTTTTTTAGCTTGAGTCAAACACAGCCGTTAACATTTATGGCAGTCCTGTGACAAGATCTTAGGTATAACGGATCAATGGGAAGTGGAGAAGATCTATGGTATAATAATAGGTACCTGTTACGTTTAACGGGAAACCTATCAGCTGTCTAAAATTTGGCGCACTTTCTTGTGTTTCACACATTTTTCGTTTCATATCTTTTCGAGTATTTCAAAGTGGAATAATCGTACTCGCCAAACGCACTTGGACTAAATAGAGGTAAATCAACGCAGACATTACTTATGGATCCACGCGAATTAATCATGAAAGTTTTACGGGTAAGGAAGGTCATGGAGTGAAAAGAATCTCCTGTATGTATGTCTGTATACATATATATACACATACATCTAGATAATCCAAATCTACATTTTGTTTGTACGTCAGATGTGCTAGCTTCCGATTATCTTATGTTACTCGGGCCCTCTATTGCTTCTGTTAAGAAACTCTCTCCATCTCTCTCTAGGGACCCTGTTCTCTCTAGGTCTTTTGATATTGTTAGCCTACTTCAGGTTAGACCCTTGCTATACTACACCCACAATGGGTCTGGGAGAGAAATATGGGAGGTCTCCATGATCTGTTGGGTTTGAGTCATCCTTAATTCTTAAACATAGTTATGTTGTTATTTGTTACGTCTTTGTTGTTTGGACGTCTTAGGCACTCGCTTTGTGTCCTGCTTTGATTTAGGACATGCCTCCATAGGACTCCATGTCCTCATCCTCTGATGAAATTTCTGGGCTTTTTAACGTCATAGGTACATCTCAAGCGAATCATATGGTACACAATATCTTTATGTGATATGATGACAGGAAATTGTCTTTATGATTGCCCTACATTTTACCATAATGTAGGATGCACAATCTGAGTGGAAGAGACTGTAACTCTGCGATCAAGAGTAGGTCGCTCTACGAGAAAGAAATGAAGAGGTTTTCGAGAGCCTCATATAGTAACCTTAGGAAGGAAAGTTTTTTTACAATGAGCTGTAGATTGCCTTTTTATCTCCGATGCAAATTACAGAATCTTACAGATCGAGTATGTGGGTATTTGTCGGCAAAAATCACTTACATCTCTTCTGGGCACTGAATTACTTGTTGAAAATATTATATCAAAGTGTTAACTCAGCATGAAATACGTCTTTAGTTTCAAGTATCTATGTAAAGGTCTAGTTTTGACTGGGTCAAGTCTAATGTGATCCAGCAGATGACATCTTTCACGCTGACTTTTTTGCTTTCACCTGTGTGCCTAATTTCTTTGGTGTAAATATGTGAGAAACATATTTACACATTCGGTCGCACCAGTGTCAAGTCAATGCCTTTACTTAGAAAACGTAGACATCTGTTCGAAGAAGTTTCCGTATTCTAAGTACAGGCATGAATGCTATGCCACGTTTTGGGCCTCTTATTTATTCACTTCACATTTCAGCTTAGGCAATTCAAAAAGTCTTGGACATTTGTATCTCCCGGGTCGGGGTCCTGTGGTCTCCTCGCGTGTTATGACTTCGCGGTTGATCACTTGTTATTTGGACATCATAAGCATTCGCTTCTGTTCCCCTTCTAGGACTCATGCCCTCTTTCGCTCCAGTTTAGGAAATATCTCTCTTGGGGGCTCTTGCCATCATCCTTGATTGTTCTCTCAAGGGTTTATTTATGTTATTTTTCCGTTTAAAGCTAAGCCTTTGGATTACAATACCTATAATAGGTCTGGGCAACAGCCATGAAAACTCTTTCGGTTTGCTGGGTTCTGAGTTATCCTCAACCTCGCGCGGTCCACTGCAGAAACCTATTCATTTCAGTTGATACATACGTTGACACATATGCAACCGAAGCAATGATTTGTCAAAGAGGCTGTAAGGATAGAAACTTTATTGTCGTTTGTATTTTATTTTATTTACCTTCCATTTTGTATGGTATTGGGTCACCACCATTACCATCCGCTTCTACAGTTTTTCTACAACTTGGGATCTTATATTGTTGAGCTTGACACCATATTTTTAAAGCTGCATCGCCGTATGAACGCGCTTACACATCCCTGCCTGATGTACTTTTCTAGATGAAACATCTGACTTAAAACATCTGACATAGGCTGTTTTGAGTGCAGATTTCGCACGTGCAAAACTTCTAGTTGCAGTTGCATCTGCAGGTCCAAATAGGGCTTCAGTATTGGCACGGACTTTTATCTCAGTTACTGTTTTAAACCCCTGCAAACTAATCATATATAAAATATATTGATCAAACGGCTGGCACCGTGTGCACATATTCAGTATGTGTTAGGTATCAAGCTCAATACACAGATTTAGTTCGTGTTAGATATCAAGAGCCCTGGTTTCTTGAAGATTCATGATGAGCCTCATAAGTGCCGAGTATTTAGTGCATGGTGTCGACTGTCATGGTCAAACTCTTTTGTGTGTGATTACGGGTGGGGTCTATGGTCTTAAGCCTATGATGGAATGAATGAACATGAAGCCCTTAGACCGACAGAAGTAAAAGACATAATGCACATATCCACAGTTATGGACATTATTGGTATGACAAATATTAACTTATTTAAACTAAAACCTATGTCTTAGTAATTAATAGGTAAGTAATTATGGGTGGAATTTTTGTGCAGTTCGGGGGATTCAACAGCCAGAATATGGACAATTGCGGATGGACCATCCGGAACATCAGCTCAGACCTCAGCTCCTCGACCTCTTGTCTTGAAGCATTTCAAAGGCAAGACCAATGAGAAAAGCAAGGATGTTACAACACTTGATTGGAATGTAAGTTTGGTGCTCTTGGTCATGCTTGTACGCGGCCTTACTTCTGCGAGGAATAGGTACCATGTCAGTATAGGACGTGGTTGTTACCTTGATTCACTCCTTATTGACTAGGTACGGAAAAGGTATTGCTGTTTGTCGTATCCTATGTAGGCCTCTTCGTTGTCGTTTCGGGTCTTCTTTCCTTGCCGATTGTCTAAAGTGTAGCTGCAGGGTGAGGGAACTCTGTTGGCTACAGGGTCATATGATGGTCAAGCGCGCATTTGGAGCAAAGATGGTAAGCTAGGCTACCATTAGACAATTACGTTGGCCGCAACATCGATGTTGGTCCTAGATGGCAATGTCTTTTACGCGTCTAAAGCCTTCGCATATCCACGATTATTTTTGCGTATTAAGTGAGTTCAGAATATAATAAGTCGTGTATCAAGAGGCTCATGTTCAAGTTGTAGGAGGCAGCTCGAACACAGTGTGACAGTATTTTGTTGTGTCATTAGATGACAAACCACGTTTCTTCATTGAGTTAGTAAGCCGGTTCCTTTATCTGTAAGTTTGTAATGTTTATGTTTTAAGATTGCGTTTGGTTCAATCTGTTTTACTCGTGGGTGATCCGCCATCTGAACATGTTGAACCCGTCGTATCTTGCAGGAGAGTTGAAGAACACATTGAACAAGCATAAAGGACCAATTTTTTCCTTAAAGTGGAACAAGAAAGGCGATTGCCTGTTGAGTGGTAGCGTGGATAAAACTGCCATCATATGGGATGCAAAGACGGGTGACGTCAAGCAACAGTTCGAGTATCATGGTGGCAAGTCAACTACGATGACCTATCTTTAAGTTTTCCATGTTGTCTGAGCTCTGTGTAAATGGTTCTGCGCAAACACTTTTTTCTAATTTGGTAATCACAACATTGTAATGGTTTTGAACATTAGATTTTTTGTGCGCAGCACCTACTTTGGATGTCGATTGGCGTAACAATGTTTCCTTTGCGACTTGCTCAACTGACAAAATGATCTATGTCTGCAAACTTGGGGAGAGTCGTCCTGTCAAGTCTTACGCTGGGCATCAGGTAAGTTTGAGTTTGACAGCAACTTGCTGGTTGAAGTCGTGAGGCCGGCAAATTTTTTTTGCACGGAGAATCTCAGTCAACATGTACGTTTGATCACGTTAAACTAAATTTTAGCGCCTTTACCTTGTTCTTGGAAACATCGCTTGCTGTCTTTCTAGGATGAAGTAAATGCTATCAAGTGGGATCCCACTGGTACCCTTCTTGCGTCATGCTCTGACGATTTCACAGCGAAGGTATATATTCCCGTTTCTTTGCGTTTCTCCCTTTCATCTGCAGTAGGAATTGTTGCGGGTATCACTTTTTGATCTGAAGTTAGAGAAGGTGGGACTATCTTAAATTTGATTGTAGTAACAGCAGTGTGTGCTGCTTGATCATGTTGGATTCATGGGTTTTTCACATAATTTGGATAATTGTCTGTAAAGTCAGCATTCGGCGCTGACATATATCCTTCTTGCAGATATGGAGCTTGAAGCAAGACAAGTGTTTACATGATTTGAAAGACCACACAAAGGTGTTGTTTTACTGTTAGTTACAAGTTCAAAACTTATCTCCTGTTTCATTTCTATTCCACTCGAAATGAGACGTATTAAATATGTATATACCTTCAAGGTCTTTGTTTTCGATGTGGTTTTGGGCGGGTGTTTGGCACCGCTTAGCCTGGGCGCGGGGTTGATATTTGTTATGTCACTGGAGGTTGTTGAGAACAGCTTTTCTCCTTTGAAGGAGATACTTGGATTATTACTTTTCAAGTATTAGTCGTTACAAAGATCTCGAGTAAGACGGCTGGCAACTTTTTGTCAAGTCTTTTACATTATATGTACACTTGCATCTCTTGGCCAGAGATCCACTTCTTTATGATCAGGTTCTGACAGGAAAATATTAATCAGTACAGTACTGTAATTTTTCAGGAGATTTACACCATCAAATGGAGTCCTACTGGTCCGGGAACAAACAACGTGAACCAACAGTTGGTTTTAGCAAGGTATACCCGGGTCTTTTTCATAACGGTGTGATTGTGTATTTATTGCAGATACGCAGCCCTCTTTCACATCCCTGAAATTGTTCGCATTTAATCTTCTATTAGCCATGCATGTTATCGCTGTCTCCAGTTTATGCTAGATTCTGACGATATCTTTGCACATGCTGTCCCTCAATGGTTCTGCTTTCGACAGCCCTATAGATCATAGGGTAGGGTCGCAATTATTGTGTTCAAGGATGGTTAGTCTATACGGGGTAGTTTGATCGATGTTTACGTATTTCTTGCCAGTGCTTCATTTGATGCGACTATCAAACTATGGGATATCGAAAAGGGAGCTCAACTCGTCAGCCTGACCAGCCACAGGTTAACTTCACTCTTGCCTCTTCATCATAGCAACTGGGCTTAAAAAAACACCAAATTTGATAAGCTAAAGAATGAAATAAACAGTAAAAACATGATATATGTAAAACGTTCTAAGAGTCAAAGTTCACATCACCATTAATACTTATCATACCAGTTACAAGCGTGCCAAATTCTTATTGCAACTAATAAAGTCTCGGTCCTGTTTGGCACCTAGTCTACCTAGTCTGCGACTGCAAATTTTGTACGCGAGGTGCACTGTTTTCAGTAGATTCTACACCATATATAAATCAAATCAGGTCGCATGTTGCGTTTCATGTCAAAAAGATTGTAAAAATTTCAGCTATAACCTAATGAAAATTGCTTTTTCTGTGAAGCAGTGAACCAGTATATTCTGTTGCCTTCAGTCCTAGTGGGGAGTATCTAGCCAGTGGGTCCTTCGATAAATGTCTGCACATCTGGTCAGTCAAGGACGGGAGCCTGGTGAAAACATATCGCGGAAGCGGCGGCATCTTTGAAGTCTGTTGGAATAAGGAGGGCGACAAAGTCGCGGCTTGCTTCTCGAATAACACCGTTTGCGTTTTGGATTTTCGACTGTAGGGTGGCTATATCCTCACTGTATACTGAGTACACTCGGTGCGTCGAGCATTTTTTGTAGAATGATCACTTTTAGACCCTGTTGGAGGTATTAGTCAGCCCAAATCCTGATTTTTCATCTGCCCCTTCATATAAAATGTTCTCTTAAATGCCACATAATCAACCACCTAAGACTGTAGTTCTAAATTTCTTTACATAATTTTGTGGGAGCTTATAGTCAATCCTTGGAGCGCCATTTTTTAACTGCTGGTCGTGCCTAAAAGTTTAGTTTAGTGCTGAAACGTGAGATGATCAATGCCATACTTTGGCTGTACTTGTGAGGTAGCGAGTGCCCTATTGGGCTGTAGGGAGTTGGTTTAGTGGCAAAGTTATATACTCGCACGGGGTAATACATGGACCTGGTAGGTACAGTCCCCTAATTTAAATTGTACAGAAGTTGGGTCAGTTCTTAACGTCTGACCCACTAAACACCTTCCACTTAGATAGACACTTCAATAAGGCGTCAACGACTTACAAAGTCAGTCCAGTGACGATGATTGTATATTAAGTTGCCTCTCTGTGCCTTCTAGTAGTCATTGTAGAATGGACTACCATAATGGATCAGGTTTTCTGGTTATACAGGACAAGTCTTCTGTAAAGTAGCTTAAGACTCCACACGGAAGTGATACCGGTGTTTTCCACTTTGAGCTTTAGGTTGACAATATAAATTTATACAGAATTGGATGTTAGCGCTGAAGGCATTGTACTGTTCCTTCTTTTGTTCTCCTGTCTCCCATCTGTTTCTGATTACCTGTTTCGATGACATTTAAAAGAGGTGAAACTTTCAGAACAAGGTCGCTATCATGAAGAGACCAGAAATGAAGACGTTCCGACTCAATCAGCTCACACGGAATAGTTGTTTGGATGTTCAGAACAGAGCCGCAAACTTGATAGATCACTTGCAGATGATGTCTCTTTTACCATATTGGTCGTTTCTTTCTTGCATCACTACAGGCAAACTATAGTCAAAGAGAAGTTGATGTAACACCGAAAGTCGAGAGTTGTGGCGACTCCTTCAACTTGGGAAAGAATCCATCAACTATTTCAGCAGAGAATGATTTCCTGATAGCGCGGATTGAGATCCTAGATAAAATTGTATCATCTTCCAGTGTTTTGAAGGTGACATCGCAGGGATTTGTTTGGATAGTTGCGATTCTAACCATGTACTTGTTGAGAAGAGAGTGATCGCACATCCGATGTCAATTTCTTCTCATCTGTTTTCTATCACCTGATTTGTAGCCAGATGGGAAACACTTAAACTTTGATTTTTAATCTTATGTTATTGATAAGTTCCGGAGCCAAAATAGTTTACTTTGCTGCCAATTTTGTTACATTTTTAACTTTTGCTATTGGTTTAATTATACATTTCTTCAAATAGATTTAGATAGGGTTTCTTGTATATGAGGAGAATGGTCTAACTCCATTTTGGAACTTCTTGCTCGTTTGTATAAGAGCACTTTGAGGGAGAAAAGATTTGTATCCACCCTGGCTATGGAAAAGTACTAAAGCTTCTTGGTTATTTTTTTAACTTGTACATAGTGATTGAGAATATGAGAATATAAGGTCATATGTGACAAATGATATGAGAGCAAACTTTAGAGGTATTGAGTAATTCTCCAAAGTTATTGGATTGTTGGATGATTTTGTGATCAAGAGTTTGCATTTTAACATTTTATCTTCGCTCATGATGTAACGTTTTTTTTGATATCTCTGTCAAACTTTGCTGTACCTCTTGCAATTTTAATCATTAGGAGATAAATTTTGTTCCTTTAAATTCCATTTTGTTAATATGGAATTGGGAGTGAAATTTTATGGGCGTTTGAAGTTTCAAGAATATTTTGATTTAGGTTGACATGAAAGCTCGTTCAAGTTATTAGGTTAACAAATTTTCAATTTTGTTTGAAACATCTTGGCCAATGGTCATGAGGAGAAATATATTGAAAAGATATGAAAGTTTTCTTTGATTTGATACCAGTTACGAGCTGAATCGTGACAAAGAAGTTATAAGTGGTCTAAACTTTTGAAAGTTCTAGGTGAAAGATATGATGAATGGAACGGTCCAAAAGCAATTTTGTTGTGTACGATCAAAATTGCAAAAATGTATGAATCTCATTTTGAATTAAACAGAAAAAGCCTTGATTTGACACTAAAATCGTTGATTTTTGTTAAACGGAAGAGAAATTATATAAAGGAATTGCATCATGGAAGTAATTTTGAGAACTTAGCGGTAATCATCAAATAATTTTTATATTCATATCAGTAAGAATCTTGTTTACATGTTGACTAATCTATACTACACTTTTTAAGTTATGTAAGACAATTTGTTGATCACAAAACTCTTATGGAGGCGTCAAAAGTTTTTGGAACTTTCTTTTCGACCGTGTATATTGTTGTCAAACATCGAAAACAATACTGTTGTCAAAACGTGTATCCGCCAATCTTAACAAAATTAAATGTTGATGTTTGACATTCTAAAGTATCATAGACAAAATGATTATATGTTGTGAGAAAGACAAGTCAATAGTGCATCTAGATTGGAAAAAGTATAGAGATCTAACGTAGAAATATTTAATGAAGAAGATTTGTTCATAAAGATTTCTAAGCAATATCTTCAGAATGAGTTTTCGACTGGTTTACTTGCTTTTCTGAAATAAAAAGCTTCAAGATGAAGGATTCAAATACCCTAATTCAAGATTTTATTGATGCTTTCAATGATTCAATGAATTTGATTAATCTTAAAAAAGAACTAAGGGATGAATGCAAAACTCTTCATATATTGAATTCATTGCCATCATCATTTATTCACACCAATGTTAATTCACGTTAAGAAGAAATATATCATCTACAATGAAACGATTAGTGTTTAAAATTTACAAAACAAGTTGTCGGGAATTGCGTTACTAACTAATTTCTTGAATACAACACTGTCACAAGAGCGAGAGTATAAAAGTGGTGGCAAGAAAGATGGATCTTAAGTAAATCCAAAACTAAAGTCATGTCTCAAGCGAAGAATACCAATACATGTTGGAGTTGTGACAAAACATCCACACGAAACGAAGTTGAAAATCCATGTCAAAGTCAAATGATCCTTACTTAGCAAATATGATTAATTTTAGGCTTCATGAGAATTTGCTTATGGATGATTTTCCTCTATGATTGTGACTTTTGCACATCACGAAGTCTATTTGGTGAGTTTTGGATTTTTGATAATGCATTTTTAAATCACATCTGTTACATTCAAGAGTTCTTTACGATTTTAACTACATCAAATTGATCAGTTTTCATGAGTAATGATCAACCTTGTCAGATTGAAGTTAATTGATCTTTAAATTTTCATATGTTTGATGAAGTCATATGTAGTTTGACTTAAGTTAGGTTTAAGAAATTTATAAGAAATAACCTGATCTTATTAAGAATATTGGATACAGAAGTACTTGCTTGTAGTGATAGTGAAGGCTTACTTCAAGTAAAAAGACGTGAAGTGATTTTTTTTTAAGAGATCACAAGCATCACAAAACACATCAGAATCTATATGTGCATGAAGTCATTACCATGGTTGGAAAGGTGCATGATACTATGTTGCGGGAGAGATGACTAACATGTGGCCAATTGGATTGGCCATTAGATTGTTATTCAACAAGAAGTTGAATAACAATCAATTGTTGATGAGTCTTTGACTATAGCACCAAACAATGAAGATCAAGTTGAGACAACTATTAAAAGATTTTCAAATAGATTTAGTAGAACTTTTGAAAGATATTAATCATTTGTCAATTCTTCTTTGTTTGAAGATGATGATATTGTTGGAGAGTAGTAAGATGATGATGTTTTGATCTTAAATAAAAACATTTTTTTGTATATCGAAGCTTGAGCTTCTGAAGACAAGTTTGACTCGAATGTTGCCATAAGATATAAGTTGTATTCAATTGAGTATAATAAGACTTGGGAGTTAGTAGAATTTTCTGAAGTTGAATCTATTGTTGACTCCAAAGGATGTACAAGCTGAAAGATGAATCAAAGAGGAGTATAAAAAACTTCATATAGCAAGGATTCTAGCCAAGGGTTATACAACAAAAGAAGTTATGAACTACAATGAGGTGTTTTCACTAGTAGCTAAGTTTTTTAAAATTAAGTTGATTGATTGAAGATGAAAGTAATAGTAGTTAGAGCAAATAAACTTAAAGTAGTATTGATACTGAAAGAGCGAGTGCAATTAATGCTTATAAAAGTTAAAAAAATGTGAAGAGTCTCTCAATTTCTACTAGTAAGACGCTACAGCAAATTCTAAAATTGGAAAGTTAACACTGTCTATTTGAGAATATTTGATAAGAATCAATAAAAAGAAATTCAATATTGTAATCAAAGTACAATATATTTGAATCTGCTTTGATTGATGTGAAAATTGATGATAGTAGAAACTTCAAATTTTTTTCTCCGTTAATCTTGATAGGTGGCAGAGTTGCTAAAAATCATACTTGAATAGTCAATTTTCTAAACGATTCAAGTATGGAAACATGAAACACTATATAAAATTTCATAGATGATGACTATACCAACCTGTATGTTATCTTGTTGATTTGATTACTCACATAGAAAGTTCCAAAAGAACAATAGTTAAATTTGTTGTTTGGTTGATAAACCTTTAAATTGACAAGCAAAAATCAAACTTTATCTTTAACTAAGATGTTTAGATTTTTCTTTTGAGATTTGATTGCATTTTTTTCTACCACTCTTGAACTTTTGCATGTCTTGCTTTCATATTTTTGTGATCTTCAAAAGTCTAGTGATTAGATCTTGCGCAATTAGATTTGTTGACAAATTCAAGTTCAAAAATTTTTATTGTGGATGATATTTATAGTTTGCAAAGAACGTAATCTGATGAATGAACTCTTGAAATGTATTGTTGTAGTCAAAATCTGAAACTTGAAATATATACACCCAATTTTCTTGATGATAGTTAATGAAACATCCTAAATACTGCTTCAATACTTAATCCATTTGATCAATTTGTTCATTTGTTTGATTATGATACGACAATGATAGACTTATTTCAAATAGAATTTGCGAAAACTTGGGAGTGAATCGCGTACCACATTCATGGAAAAGTTCATGATATATATACATATTTTTCAAAAAAAAGTCATGCAGTTTCTTTAATTGTAATAGTATTGTTGTAAGGAACTAAAGGTGTCATCTTTGTCAAACATTTCATCACAATTAAAACTTTAGCATGAAGAAACTTTAACAAGACAAGAAATTTTGAATCTAGAACATGTGTTGTGGGTCCAGATCCATGGAAAATCACAAAACAAAAAATTTCACACAATAGAGATGCATCTATAATATAGTGTGGTTTGTTTTCTTGACACACAATAATATTGGACGCGATAAGCAAATTTTTGGCGCTAAATCGTGAAAGCGAGGTTGACTAATTTGATACATGAAACTCACCGTCAACAATGCATTGTTCCAACTTGAATTATTGCTAACAATCTTTCCTAAACACATATTGGAGAAATAGCTATTTCCTTAGCCTATATAAAAACTCTGCAAAAAATTCTAGAAGTAATCCTCACAAAGATTTTTCTATAAATTAGAGCTAATTAGAATTAAGTCGTAGTCAAAACATAATAGTGTCAAAAATATATAGAGGTAACAAAGAATTCCTAGTAAATTGTCTCTTCATCAAGGATCGCAAAATCATTAGTTGTTTACGATCCAAGTAACGTTTTCAGGATGCACATTTGATTTATTGGTGA